TCAGTGGCGACATTCCCAGCTCGTTCACATCGGCGGGGTTTCTGGGAATTCTGAACCTATCGTACAATAATCTGTCAGGAGCGATCCCCGAGTCGATGACCAAGTTTCCCAACTCGTCGTTCGTGGGAAATGCAGACCTCTGTGGGCCTCCTCTGACCACCGTGTGTGCAGGCGATGCAACATCGATGTTCCCTCGAGATTCTGCAGAGCGCTATAGCATCTGGAGAGATATGTTGTCCCTGGATGGGTACATATCATTCCTTGTCGGAGCTCTGATTGGTTTCTGGGGACTGCTCGCTGCCATTGTTCTGCACCCTGGATTTCGCTCCTACGTCTTCGAAACATCATCCCCTCCGATTGTTGTGCTGCCTGAAACCGATCAGGATCTCGGCAGGTCTAAAGATCGGCAATGGAACCGGTATTTTCTTACGACGCATTAGAGGTTCTGTACAAATTCGGATGCTTTAAGTAGTTCGCGGTGTATGAATCCGCAGCTTCAACTTTTAGCACTGGAGGTTTTGAGGTCCTAAAATTACCGATAATAATCATAAATAGAACGATCTGGCTGGATCGAGATTCGGTTGCTGTAAATTCTTGATTTGATCCTCGGGATGAATCAGTGCTTATATTGAAAAGTGAAATGAATTTCACCCCTACATTTTCAACGAACGCATCACCGTGGTTGCAACTGGATTCAGTGTGGATACTTTTTACTCCCTCGTCTTGAGGATTTCTTCGTTAAAGAGGATTTCTCTCCTGTGTCGATCACTCGCACTTGCAGTCGACGATTTGCACGTCAATTATGAGCCAAGAGGATCGATTGTTTAAAGTCAGTTCAAAAAGAAGGTTACCTTAATAAAAATGGATCAACCTTGTGTACGCGATGGACAGCAATTTTAAGTCAACTCATGACGGATCGTTTAAATCAGATGTTCATCTCAGTATCGTCAATGCTGCTCTGCTGAAGACCATAGCATGCGGCGAGATTTATCTTTACACCAGAACTCCGAGTGATGTAATATCGACAAATTTGGCCGATATGGCTGAAACTGAAACCGTCACTGAACGCACATGGAGACAAGCGAGCGGGTCGACGAGTGAAGCGAAGTCTACCGTTTGGGATTGGACGTGAGACGAGAGATGGGTTCAGGTCACGTCGGAGAGATATGCTTGACCACAGAGCTTTTCGGAAGATGATGGATTTGCGTCCCGTGTCGAGAGTCAACTCGGATAATCCACACCCTCGCACAGCGTTTTGATACGCGTCCACGCATGGCACGGCCAGAGTCCAGAGTCCGGAGTGCAAGTGACGCCAGTCGGAGATGGCGATCGAGGTGTGGCTTATGGCACCCGCTGACTCTCGAGCAGAAGACTTTCTGCTCCAATAACTCGAGATCCATGCGCAGGGAATTTCCTTCGCGTGAAGTTGGAAGTAGCCGCGTTTGGAACAGGATGCGGAGTCCGAGGGCTACTTCTGGCACCACCATAGCCATGCTAGAGAAGAAGCCTGGGGGCCAGGGGCGCTGTCGTTGACTCATGAATCGCTGCAGATCCCAGACTCGCTCCCTCTCCCGTCACCAGCACGTGAGGCTCAGATTTTGCCGGCGGCAAGATACAAGCCCGTCTCTACTCAGAAAAAGTCAGCAGCTTATCCGCCGTCCCCTCTGCTGCCCTGCCCCGCCATAGCCCGGCCCACAAAATCATAGAGTACTACGAGCACTGGCGAATTGCTTTGCGATGCGAGCGCATGCTACCTGGCACGCGAGGCGGAACGGAGAAAGCGACAGAATCCTGTGCTTTACAGGATCGTCGTCCTCAGAGCTCGCCCTTTTCAGACTGTCTGATGAAGCGGGAATCAATCGTGAGAATCGACCGGTATACATTCATTCAGTCGGAGAATCGTGACGTCATGGATTTCTCTTGTGCATCTGCAATTGGAGAGAGTCCGTTCGTCATGCCAGTTTTGCTTGAGGGAATCGGGAGGCTGAGGCTCGGGAGAATCTAGTGCCCTCTCCTGAGATCCAGCGACAGTCGGTCGGTGGCACGAAGATGTGTCTGAAGACTGACAATTCCGAGGCACCAACAGCGGTGTCTACAGGGTGTGGGTGTGCCCATACTAATGCCACCGGGAGGTGTCGAACTGCGAAGATCCATGCCATAGACCGAAGAGTTCTCGGCATGGCTGCTGGCCTCTCAGAAGCATGCGGTTGCGGTTGCTGTTGCGCAAACTCATGGACTCGTGGATTTCTCCCCTTCTCCGGAGGCAGCACTAATTTCGTCACATCATGCACCGAGCCAGTGGGAGGAGAGTGTCCTTCGGTTGATGCAACTCCGGACAAGAACATCTTGCCCCGAAATTCTAGCCCATCGTGCACCACTGCCCGCCCGTCGCCCATGCGACCAGTTGGCCAGCCCTCTCCCTGTCAAGTTGACCTGTTTCCTATTCGGAACTGCACTATTCTCAGCTTCGTCGTCTCGAGCTCGAGGGATCGAGGAGGGAAGGTCGAGGAGGCTGTGGAGAAACGGATCCCCGGGACTCAAGCATTCATTCCGAGCTTCCATTCCAATTTCCTAGAGCTCCGGTCGGCCCCAGCTCATCGATCGAATTCTCAATTCTCGTTTGCCTCGGATTGCACCTCCACCACCTCGGACTTCGTGCTCCTCCTGGCCTCGGACGACCCTCACCATCACTGAGTACGATCGTCCTGAATTCTCGACACTCGTTCCGCGAGCGTCAATGAGCCCACCTGTTTACAGTCCTCCATTCGTGCCACATGCTCCAATCTCTGGCAGTAAGAAGGGCAGTCCAGATGTCGTGTTCATGATTGCGCTGATCGTTTGGGATACTCTGTTTCTGGCCAAGATCTACATCGTTCTGCACTACATTTTCACGAGGTTCACTCTGGGCCTACGCGTTCAAAGCAAATGGCTCTGCCTGCTGGGGTTTCTGTTCGCTTTCGGCGTGGGTCCCGTGATCGCTTTCACCTCCTTGACCACCAGCAGATCTGTGTTCCTGCTCGGAATTGCCAGTATTTGTTGCTTGATTTTCCCGCTGCTGCTTTTCCCGGTGCTGATCTTCTTCTGGAAAATGTGTAAGCACGTTCCGGGATAGAACAGGAACAATCGATTTCAATCTCACTTGGGGCTTCTTCAATCAGCTCATCCGCTTCAGCTTGATTTCTGCTGCTTGAATGCCCATGGACGACGAGACGGACTGGAGGTGCAGATCATCAATGTGATCAATCAGCCTCATTGCCTTCGTCTTTGTCGTCGGTGCTGGGATAGCATATCGATGTCTGCCTTCCTTCCTGCCTGCCTGCATCACGGGCGGCGCCATGGGACTGTGAAGTCCAGCTTTTCCATCAGAAGGCGGAGCAGCGATTGCCAATTGACAAGTTTCTCCAGCCGTGGTGATGAGAAGAAACGCAATTTTGCGACCTCCGGTGTGCTGGAGAAAGCGAGAAGTCTGTGATCCAACGACCTGCTGGTTAGCTCGATGCGAAGGTGCAACGAAGCTGACATTTCTGGAGGAGTTGCTGCTGACACTCTGCATCCTCGGCATGCCCTTCACATTTCCTCGGCTGCTCGCTTGCTGCTGCTGGCGGCTTATATCAAGCTGAGAACCTTGAGGCAGATTTTGGTTGACAACTTGTTTTCAACTCTCTTCTCTCGAAGACAATGATTGCACAATGTGACTCGGTCATGCAGAATGCAGAAAAGGTCGGCTCGCACATTAGCAGTCAACTCTTTATGCGTAAATAACTTTTCTTATCTTCTTGAATGTCTGATGTCACCGCCAGTGAACTTTAACATCATTCAGACCGCAGGACAGCGTCAGATTCTGAGCTCTCGTCAACTTTATTCGAGAGCTGCACCTCCTGCTGGTTTTAGCTTACAACTTACGTCACGATCGTTATTTATCAGGCAACATTCTCACTACTGGCTGCTCATTTTGCTTGCTACGCTAGAATTCATTGGGCCCTCGGACCATTTCTAGAAAAGATGTATGATGCTGGGTGACTCCAGAATCATTAATTTTGTTACTCATTATTGGTTTCAGATTGAGTGGGACCTTCAACAGATATGTCAACGCAGGTGTACACTTCACAGAAGAAGGTACGCAGGAAGTTGGAACGGGCAAGGGGATCATATCATTTTCCTTTCAAGCTTGTTCTGGTCGCATCGGGCTTTGGTGTACAACATGACTACTGGGAAGTGGACGGTGACAGTTTTTACTTCAGAAGGTCCCACAACGTCGGAAGTAAAGCGGTTCATCCCAGTTCCGACGGCAACCTTTTGAAAAATAAATGTTATGCTGTAATCACTACGTTCAAACTTCTCTTATGAGTTTCCAGAGAGTATTCACTCTATTGGCTAGATTCGTCAACCGGGGAAAAAAGGTGATTTTGCTCACAACTGGAATGGGGCTCATGTGCAATTCGAATGCAAGGGGCATGAATGAACATTAGATGGTCGGTTTCCATTTAAGATAATAAAGCTTGCAAACATCCAGTCGATTGAAGGGAATGGATCAGCTATACTACTTCCATCAGTTCATTTGATAGTTCTTTCTGACTTCCACATTCTTCTGTCCCCAGCAGTTATGATCGAACTACGGGAACGAGTAGTCTTACTACACCCATGAGTTGATGCCCCATGAACAAAATAGCTTCAGCGGCTGTTTACGAGCTTCGTGCACTTTTAACCCTGATTAGAATTAGCGACGTCACCAGACTGGATGTTGTCAGTTCGTGCTGCGTGTGTCACCGCACGTCAGCAGTGGTCATCAGAGATTTCTCTTCCCGCCTTCGCTTTGAGTTTAAGAGACGATGGATTCAAATTGGTTCAAAACTGCGCGAATTCCGGTACTTGTAAAACGGGGGAATAGTTTGAAACTATTCCCCCGTTTTCCAATTACACCAAATCCAAATTGCCAGTATAAAATGAACTCTCCACGAACCACAGCTTCATCATTCGTTCCCACTCCGACACCCGGTCGGTGTGACTGTCCGGGACTGTAAGCAAGGAAAGAGAAGTCGATAGTGTTTCTATTCCTTTCTCGTCCAGACTTCTTCTGCAGCCAGCGTTCACAAATGTAGACTCGTAAGTGCCTACTGACTTCTACTTCCCTTCTCAGCTGATGCATATTGCAATTGTACTCGAAACGGAATAGAGTCGACCTGGAGATCCATGGGGAACCTTACCTCCCGACTTTCTGATCAAAGTTCTCAGATCCATTCTTCCGTCGTCCAGATTTCTGCAGCCAGCGTCCACAGATATTACAGATGTCAGCTCGTAATTGACTAACTGCTACCCCTTTTGTTTTGCTATTATGATGTACAGAGTTTCAAACGCACAAGCATTCAGGAGAGGATTGTGTGAGACGGTGATATTTTGAGGCAGTCGCCTCGAAATATCACCCTCTCCCGAAATCGCCTGAAATTGGGAGAATAAGTGAAGTGCGCATCATTGTGACAGCTGATTTTCCTGTGAAAAGTTGGTATCTGCTGGAGTCGAATCAATCATGGCTCAACAGTTTCGTAGTCTCCCGAGAGCTGTAATTGAAATCTGCAGAGAGCTCGTGAGTGCAAGTGCTGGTCTACGAGCTGCAGTTGGAGAGGTGTGATAACACAGAACTTCCGTTCTGTGATATCAAGCCGTGCGAAGGGGAGATCTACCGGCTTCGCTTCGGAGGCAACATCTTTTCACATTTCAGGTTCGAATCACACTCATGCTGCAGTAGAAGTTCCGACACTTGCCTGTGAAAAGTTGGTATCTGCTGGAGTCGAATCAATCATGGCTCAACAGTTTCGTAGTCTCCCGAGAACTGTAATTGAAATCTGCAGAGAGCTCGTGAGTGCAAGTGCTGGTCTACGAGCTGCGGTTGGAGAGGTGTGATAACACAGAGCTTCCGTTCTGTGATATCAAGCCGTGCGAAGGGGAGATCTACCGGCTTCGCTTCGGAGGCAACATCTTTTCACATTTCAGGTTCGAATCACACTCATGCTGCAGTAGAAGTTCCGACACTTGCCTGTGAAAAGTTGGTATCTGCTGGAGTCGAATCAATCATGGCTCAACAGTTTCGTAGTCTCCCGAGAGCTGTAATTGAAATCTGCAGAGAGCTCGTGAGTGCAAGTGCTGGTCTACGAGCTGCGGTTGGAGAGGTGTGATAACACAGAACTTCCGTTCTGTGATATCAAGCCGTGCGAAGGGGCGATCTACTGGCTTCGCTTCGGAGGCAACATCTTTTCACATTTCAGGTTCGAATCACAGTCATGCTGCAGTAGAAGTTCCGACACTTGCCCCAAAACGTCTCTAGGCCCCCTCCGGAAGTGGGGGCTTAGAGACGTTTCGGGGGAGGGGCCGTCCCCCAAGCCCCACCACGCGTGGGGCTAAGGGTGGAGGGGATGCGCGGGCGTTCGAACGCCCGCGCATCCCAGCCACGTGGGCCTTAGGAGGCCCACGTGGCTTTTGGGCTCCTAAGGCCCAAAATCCGGGTTGATCTCAATAACTTTATTGAAATCTTTTTCCGCCTCTTCAAACCTGTGTCCGTAAAAGCAAGCACCAACTGTTATTCAAAATCTTCAAGATCAACTCCCTACTGTAAGTTACAAAAACCAGAAAATGACGGGAAAGGTTTTGTCTTGATTCCGCTTTCGTAAACTCAACATCGTTTTTCTTTCAAAAAACTAGGAGACAAATATATCAATTGAACCACTTGCCGCTTCAACATTCTGTCTGAAAACAATATCTTCTTCCAATCCACACTTCTGTATTAATATTTTCAGAAGAAATGGGCGTCAATCAGTAGAGTAGCAACTCTACAACCAGCCCTGAATATATTTCCTTGAATAACTTATGTAAAGGTGGAGAATTTTACCTGCAGCTCTGTCGAAAAAGGCGGCCCCTATTCAAATAACCTTGAACAAATACTGGATCAACTTCGACAGCTTTATCCAAGTCATAGATGGCTTCCTTGTATGTTTTTTGCTGTACATAAACCGCCGACCGCTTGGAGTAGCCTATTGCTGCAGCAGGATTCAAATCTGCCGAGAAATAACAATTGTTTGAAGATTTAGTAAGAAGGAAACACTGCCAAGTATTAATCAAGTGTCTTAAAACAAGGCTGACTTTAACAAGAGTCAAAATTGAGGACACAATACATTAAGCACTGGAATTTGGACAACAGAGTATGTTGCCCATAACAATGCGTACTGATACTAAGTATATTAAAAATGCGTACAAACATATATATAGGGAGGATATTCATACCAATAAAACTGCTATAATGACGGACCGCGGTAGTGTAGTCACCATTGGCAACCGCAGCATCACCTTCTTGCAGGAACGAGGCTGCAAACAGACAGAAGAATGCATATTCATTAAGCCAACCGTTCTAGATAACAGCAATAAAACTCTGGAGGCTTCTAGAGCTCTTCAAATAAACACGACCGAAATCAAAGTTTTTTATCTTCCAAACTGAGGATGGATTATATGCTGTGCCGTTGTTTATGAAAGTAGATGGCAATCAAGAGTTTGTCTCCGGGAAAAAAATGTAAGAGCCTTAAGATAATTGAAGTATTCTTAGGCAAACGAAATAAACTGGGAGAAATCGAGCTATTTGCCCAACCTGCTCAACACAACTCTTGCGGATATGAAGACGAGTCCATCACACATATGTGACGCTTTGGAAATTAGCGTATAGGGAATGGTAAAAAACAGCGTGAAGATGAGCACATCACGTATTGATGATGAAATATCTAGTAATTAATAACATTCAACCCAAATCACTTGCAAGGGAACTGTATGTGCACAACAAGTTTCAGATGCTGATGTTTGTGGTCCTTCTTCAAAACCCTTGTTATTGGATCACGCCCGACTAAAGCGCTAAAATAAGTTGCGTATCTCCAGAAAGGGAAAGAAAAAAGGAATGTCTGAAGTCCACGCGAAACGATTAAGGCCGTGGGACGGCCTGTAAAGAGAACGAGCAGCAAGCCCGTCAAAGTGCGAAAACAAACTCAACAGCGAAGAAAGTCGAACTAACCGAAATTGATTCGCTAATCTGGCTTCATTAGGAATTGCACCTATAAATAACATGAAATGATTCACTGAAGAATCCAGAATTCGAATCCGAAAAGGACACAAAGGATGTCCTGCTCTTCCATGTCAACCACATGCAAGGTAAAGTGTTTCCTACGTCAAACCCCTTCCAGTATTAAAAGTACCTCACATAGAAACCTGTAATGAATTGCCCTAACGCAAAATCGACTAAACTTGAAGACCTCAATGCAGCTCTTTCCACGAGCGGATAACGAGTTTACTCTTCCCAAGCAGTATAAGTCTCATCCCACTACTCATCTCTACACACTTAGCGATCTGCAGTAGCGAACTAAAGAAGACTTAATTTGCTACGTGATAGCTCCGCCCACCATGCTATTCGAATTTGAACCCTTCACCACACTCGGGACAGAAATTCATGTTGCAAAGTTGGTTCTATAAGGAAAAGCCCTACTTGAACTTCCTTCAGAGGAACAGGTAAAAACTTAGCTGGCAAGCAATACTAAGGTTAGCAATGTTATGGTTAGAATCAAGCTCATTTCCGTAGTTGTTGCAAGCTTACTGCACCAGATACATTGTCACCAAGGACAAAATGCTTCAGCTCTCTGATCAGGTTACCCCTCACAGTCGGCGCCTACTTATCATCAAGGGGCTCGCAGATATGAGTCGACAAGGTGAAGGCCGTGATTGAATGATGAATCAATTAGTCCAAATTGGTTCCGAGACACCAAAAACATTACCCGGTAGATAAATAAGTATCCATTTCTCTAAATGAGATGGTTATATCTAGGATACAACGAAGAACGACGATAGGAGGGCTCTTTTAACAAACTTGCACAATCTATAACTTGAAATCAGAGAAGCATATCTTCGGCCAAACTCAGCAGAACCGCTAGAAATCTCGCTTTGAGGGGCCGCATTCCTTCGATGGGTTGATCAAGTTTACTGGATTGCCACCCTCACTGATTCCGGCACTCTGATCACGTAAGTGTTCAGCGTATAATATCTTGAGAGACAGTAAGCTGAGCAGACCTCTGACACAGCCACGTGACGAAATCCGGGGTGGGAATATACATGAGTCCAAGACCTAATCATATTGAAATATTGCAAAGTGCATCCTTTACTTTGCTCACAACCCTTGCATAGGGAAAGAGGTAAAAGGTCGGCACGGTTGGCATTCAATGAACTCTGTGGTTGACCTCTTTCTCTCCAAGATGATTATCATCTTCAAGTGAAGCATTCTGGAGTACACCTTTGGACACAAGCGTTGAGAAAAAGCTCTGAGCCAAGCTGCAACTTAAGTTCTCGGCATCGAACTAATCTTGCTGTAAAGCCCGGAACTTGAAGTGGTACAACGAGCTGTGTATGAGAGGTGAGAAAATTCTGGCAACACATGAACACGAAAACTGTGCTCCAGCAGTCTTTAGGCTTCGCGATCATTATGATCACTGATCTAAATACCAAATACTGACAGCTACCGATACAATTGTCCTCACGAATGAGGAATCGTGACTATATTGACCAAAACATCATGTCGACAGATATCGCTCAGCTCCCATAATCGGAAATTTGAACAATGTGAATAAGTTGCGACACCCGAAAGGACGTCCGGGGAAATAAAACTTACAAACTAAAGAAATTAAATTCCTATTCCTCCTCATCAGGCGAACCCACTCGCCCCCACGAAAATTCCAAAATCAACGCTCAATTCCTCTTCACGATTGAGCCACGCGTAGTTCAAGGAGAACGTTGGAGATAAAAGAGGAGAATGGGAATCCCAAGATCATGCGGTTTGACTTACCAGCAGTAGAAGCGTACACATTCAGAGCTCGAAGAAAGAGAGAGGTAACGATCAATAAACGCTGGTCCGTTTGAGTGGGGAGCTTGCGGTTTCTCTGGCCACGGAAGTGAATGGACTGCCTATGGGAACTCTGTACCTGAAGAAACTCCGTGCACTTACGAGCAGGACAAGAGCTGCACCCATGACTATGGCCAATATGGAATAGCCCCATTTCCAGCCTTTGTACTCTTGAATCCATATCACGAGAGAGTCTAGGCGAATAGGTCACTGTTCGCCTCGACTCTCACGATATGGATTCAACGGAGCCGAAGAACACACTGAAGTAATGAGGCAGACTTTTCGACTCCCCGGGGTCCTCGGAATCGAATTGATCTACTCCGAATGCTGATACACAAGCTTTGATGCCCCCCATCCCGATCGTTATGAGGTAAAGGGTCGCTATGCGATCCAACGATCAGATACAGGCTCGAAACATAATCCTCAAGGCTCTTATATTGTGTTCGCCCGGGCAGTCCCTTGTAACACACATTTTTCAAAAATTTGAATGGTTTCGCGCGGAACGCGCGAAACCATTCAAATTCAAATATCAACCGGTCAAGAAATAGGTTAACCCTCCACCTCTTTAGTAATGTGCTTTCCACGCTTATTTTAGATAAAGAGCAATAAATGTAGGAAGTAAGAAGGAAGGTACGTAGGAAGTTGGAACGGGCAAGGGGATCATATCATTTTCCTTTCAAGCTTGTTCTGGTCGCATCGGGCTTTGGTGTACAACATGACTACTGGGAAGTGGACGGTGACAGTTTTTACTTCAGAAGGTCCCACGACGTCGGAAGTAAAGCGGTTCATCCCAGTTCCGACGGCAACCTTTTGAAAAATAAATGTTATGCTGTAATCACTACGTTCAAACTTCTCTCATGAGTTTCCAGAAAGTATTCACTCTATTGGCTAGATTCGTCAACCGGGGAAAAAAGGTGATTTTGCTCACAACTGGAATGGGGCTCATGTGCAATTCGATTGCAAGGGGCATGAATGAACATTAGATGGTCGGTTTCCATTTAAGATAATAAAGCTTGCAAACATCCAGTCGATTGAAGGGAATGGATCAGCTATACTACTTCCATCAGTTCATTTGATAGTTCTTTCTGGTATTTGATAGTTCTTTCATGGTCTCCATTCAAATTCAAATATCAACCTGTCAAGGAATAGGTTAACCCTCCACCTCTTTAGTAATGTGCTTTCCACGCTTATTTTAGATAAAGAGCAATAAATGTAACTTCCAATTGGAATTTTTAAGTAAATTTTCATACTCAATAATTCATTGACTCACTTTTTCAAAATTTTCATTTTTTTACATTGACATTTATTGTCTTTTTTATTCATATTTTAAATCAATTTTGTTTCTTTATTTATAACTTGACTTTTACTTTTTGTTTAAAAAAAAGTAACTCATGTGTGACTGCACACACGTTAAGTGACAAGGGAGCTTGATAAGAATATTTTACACTTTCATTGAAATTATTGGTTTGAAACAAAAATATAATAATGAATTTAAGCTACTTGATCATATTACCTGATGATATATACTCAATCACATCCAAATTTATTTTATTTTCAAATTTACATAATTTACTTTATCTTTTATGGTAGAGTATTAGAAACCATGATTATTGTATGTTTAGGTAGCTCATGGCAGTAAGTGTGCTAGATAACCATTTTTTTTGGTGCAATAAAATATAGTAATGAGTTCTTAAAGCTAGCAAGGGTGACACTGCGAAGACGACGAGGAAAGTTATAACTCCTTAATAACAGTATTACTGATAAATCTAATTGCTTAATGAAAGACTCTGTAAATCCATTGATATCTTGGGCATGAGGTCATGAGTGTTGTTGAAAAAATATTTAAAGTGGATATAAAAATTTAATTTGATCACAAACTTAATTATTAAGTTATCTTTGCTATTTGAGAACCTTGAGTAAATTTTGCCTCACATAACCCTAAACCCTCACTAAACCCTAAACCCTAGGATCCACAGGTGACGATGATGATGAATCAATTTTCCGCATTTCCATATCATTATCAAGTGAAGTACACTGTTTGATCTATTCAAGTACAAAGACACACAAAAGATTTTAGTTTTAGATTTGTTTAGTTTTCACTAACTTATTCAACGAGTACTTTCGTGTTGGACACTAAACCACTCGTTCAATAAGTTAATGAGGGGAAAATAAATTACTCAGGGGATGTAACTTCAAACAGTCCTAAAGGTCCTCTATGTAGATTGAGGAGGAAGATGGACTCGGAGTGTGTCTAGTGCCTTCGCAATCCTTTGACTCCAGCGTCGATTTGTTCTCGTGAAGTCCCGGGAGGAGTATATAATGCCCACCACTCTGCCCACTCTCTCCGGAGCCCGAAGCTGCTCGTAGAACTGAATCTGCAATTCAGCGCTTGACGTCAACTTCCTCTCACTCTATCAAGTACCTTGGCGTGAATACAGAAGTCGATTCCCGTCAAGTCGCTGGATTGCAGATTTCGGCATATTTCTCTTCTGTCGAATCTATTGGAGAATATTGGTTACCTTCTGGTACGTTATTGGCCCTGCGCGACTTGGTCAGGAAGTACTTCCAAGCCTTAAACATCTTGATGTTAATTTCAGCCTGGGCTGTCATCGTTGATAGTACTCTGCTTGACTCCTGAAAGCCGTTTACACTGAATTCAGCGTGACAGAGCTGTCAGTTGTGAGTCGTGATCTCTGCTTAGTGCTGATCCATTATTATTCCGCACAGCATCAACCCGTCCCTGCATTTTTATTATATCTGGTTTGCAAATGATGCACACAATCATTTAACGAGAACTGTCTGTGATTGCAGAGAAACCGGCAGCGTGCATCAATTCGTTGAACACTCTTGTTTGCTCTTTACGAAGACAACATCATCCTTACGATCGGGCAGAACGACGTATACAATAGTAAATGACGTGCAATAGTAAATGGTACACGAGGATCGGCAAGCTTCGGACCAAGTTTAAGTAAGCCTTGAAGCAAACTTTGTGAGAGCACAATACCCACAGGGGGGCTTGGAGATCTGGCAACGGAATTCCAGATATGTTCAACATTCTTGGTAGTTGTCTATAAGTCACATAGTTCGTGTAATACTGTTGAATTCTATCACATATTTGAGATGGGCTTGCAAGCATGTACAATGTCTGCAGAGCACGTAGGTACTGTGAGGCCTTTTCCTAAAGTCCCTACGCTCTTTCTGTAATTTGTTCCTGCGTTAGATCAGTACGTGAAGCATTAAGTCCGGGACTCTGGCCCCGAACTGAGTGCTTGGAAAACTGATCTGAGTGCAGTGGAGTAGTGGTCAGTTCAGTGGAGCCTATTTAACAGTCATCCAAACACCCTGTAGTGCCAAGATGCTCGAGAATTTGCTTCACTCAGGTGCTCGAGCATTGAAATTTGAAACCTTTTGAATTTCGACGCTGCCCTTTCAAATTTCACTCCACCCACCTATCCGCGTCCACTGCCGCCATGAATCAAGAAAATATATTGATGGCGTCACAAAAATTTGAAATTCGTGAGATTTGAAATTTGAAATTTCACGAATTTGAAATGTGCGCGACGCGTTGTGGCACCTGTGACAACTAAATGACCATCGTTTCCATTCTTCTCTCGTGCAGACTTGTGTAGCCAGCCAGCGTTCTCTAGGTTGAAAGGTGAGTCACAAGTGTCTATGCACGCAATTCTTCTCATTTGAGCCTTTCTGAGTCAACCTGCGTGAGACTTTTCGTCCAGCTCAACTCGCAAGTAACTATTCTGCTCCCTTGTGAGCTGTTGCAGATCGCCGATGCAGAGATGACCGTCATATACATCATCCTCTGAATTGATTGCTGCAACGGTAGTCGAAACGAAAGAGAGTCGACCTGGAGATCCTTGGGAAACTTTACCTAGCGAATATCTGATCGAAGTTCTCAGAGATCATGGTCTGCCAGTTTCCACACTTGCAGCATGTAGTTCAGTCTGTAAAAAAGTGGATGGAAATCGTTGATGGTCCTGATTTACGGAACAATATCTGAAATAAACATGTTATTGCCTATTATTATTTTACTGGCGGCGCGGCCTTCTTTTGCTGCAGTGATCAATGGATCACAAGGAATGCATTACATTTGAATCCAAGTTGCTAGTCGCTGCCGATGGAGGCTTTGTGTTCCAATAAACGTTTGTCGATGAAATATGTTCTGTATAGCGCAGTTGCGGATAAATTCCTGACCCTGAACATACCTCATGAAATCGATGCAATACCTACGGTCATTGCATCGATTGGAACGATGAACTGTGTGGTGGTTGGTTTCGTCGTGGACCGATCTACAAAGCGCTTCAAGCTGGTTTTGGGATGAATTCTACTTCCAGATGAGCGCAGATCTTTGATTTACGACTCCACGACCGGCACATGGTCGAGGCACAACAAAGTCCGTGAGGTACAACAAAGATCCAAGTTCATGCCTTATTCCCCTTCATGTGCATTTCCAGGTTAGATTCTTTCACGAACCTTCACATAATTCCACTTTGATACAAATGAAAAATCTCCGTTGTTGTGGAATAATTGAGACACAAAAATTCCTGTGGCTAACCATCATCACAAGTACTACCCGTTGAGTACAAATTTGCTAGAAATGTCAATGAAAGGGAAAGATGTTTGCATATCGAGTTTCACTTTATTTAACACTCATTATGATGAACATTCTTATTTATAACGCATCAACATTTATAGGGAGTGAAGATGAGAGTGCCAACAAAGAATAAAAAAACTTTGTTTTATTTCAAAAACAACCAGCCCAATCCAGACCGACATGAACCCAATTTAGCATCCCAGTTGTTAAAATGGGTGTAGTCCAAAAGACATATATATATCTCGGTGAACTCATCTGTGCTGAAACTCCGATAACCTCTCTTCGGACTTCCACTACGCTCTCTTCTATGAGAGAATCCCCCACCTCCTACTACAGATGTCTCTGCTGCTGTGTTATCCATCCCTGCTCTGCATTTACTCCGGGCGAGGTAATAATTGCATACCACGGGTCATAGAAGAATTCCGGCTCGAAAATCCAGTATTTATTTTCCAATAGATCTTGATTAGGAAGTTCCGGTAAAAATACCATCAAGTCTAGTTTCGGCCAGTATCTCGCCACCTCAAGGTATTCGTATTCACCTCCTATCTCGATATGAACCCCCGTGTCGAAGACGAAGAACAAATCACTGCCTCCTGCACCGAAAACTTTGAAAAGTTAGCCATCCTCGAAGTCCCATATGGATGAATCTCCTCATCAGAGATTCATCCATTCTCTGGACCATTGGATGACGGAGAAAGTTGCCTTCATAGCTCCTACCATCCAGCTCAATATTACTCCAATCCATGGCGAGTAACAAACGACCTTTATACGCAGTAATGTGAATGTGAAGGTCATCTGACGTGTCCTCCATGCAGAGG